GGTATTCTACAGACATGAAATATGATTATTTTTAAGGTTCTTTTCTCACCTTTAAATGATTGAGAAATGCTGTTTCCATCCATGTTACAGGCTGGTATTCACCAGCAGTTGCAAAGTTAGTTCCCTTAAACCAGACTTTATTATATTGTTACTGAATTGTGTGGTGATTAAAAAGCTACAAATTCACAATCCCTGAATTGGCAAAGACTTCTGAAAATACTAAAACTTAATATGCAGAGASGTCAAAAGGAAAAACTGAGTGTTTAAAGCTACTCATGCAAGCATGACTGTCTCAAAAAGATCAAAAGCACTGGTAATTCTGACCCATTTACATTGAGCAAAAATTGATATTCTTAGCATTCCTCACTATATTACATTATGAGGAAAAAAAAAATCATTGTGAATCACTGCCCCTTTTAAGAAAACACTGTAAATAATATTAAGGTTATGCTGCCTTTTTTTTTTTTTTTTTTTTTTTTTTTTTTTTTTTTTTTTTTTTTTTTTCCTCAAGAGTGTGTTCATTGATTCCCAAGCAATCAGTAACATTTTTGATTAAGATCTCAGAAATAGCTGAAAATCCCAAGGCTTCTCTACTACTGAAAATTCATGACTTTGACTGTCTCCAACTAATGACAGTAAACTATGCAGCCTCAAGCAAAAGAGATTAATTTCAACTTTGTAATGAATAGACAAAAAGACTGGACAAAATACATTCCATAGCTACTCAGTTGTTATATCTATAACAGAACATTCACTTTTGGCCCTACAGACATTTACAGATATTATTCAAGATGCAAAACAAGCAGCACATTACAAATGACACCATGACAAAGTTTAGAACTGCATTMTTTTTCTCATGCTTTTTTTAGAATAAAACAATGTTGTGCATAAGACAGATTCAAATTTAGTATGTCTTCCTGATATGCTTTAAGAAACTTCTACAAACAGTAAGAGCAGAATAATTAAAACAGGTTCCCAATTTTATGGAAGTACTGTGTCAGAGTGATTTCCTAGATTGTATACCTAAATTTCCCCTCTTTGTAGGTAATATGAAGATAATTTTAAAACTAGATAATGCATAAATGAGCAGTAAGTATCAGTGCACTCCTATTATACAACGTATTTTCCAGTAAAATGTACCAAATTGTTTACTTATCATAATATCTTTAGTTAAGATATCTCCAGCATACTTTTTTTTTACATCAGGAGTAACAAATTAAGCATGATGAAATACTGTAAGAATATTCATCCTGCTATCTCTTCATGAAGTTCTGCAAAAGTGAAAACTACCTGAGTCTGTAATGGCTTCTACTAAATGGAAAAGCTGACAGCATTCCATAAGCTAATTCAAGATATTTTAAAAATTATTTCGTAATTTGAAATGTAAAGCTTGAAAACAGTGTTCACGAAAACAATATCCCACTTCCTGATTGCTTCTGTACATACGGATCTGTTGGAATCTTTCTATTGATTTTACAAGCTGAGACTTTTGAAAAGAAGTCGAGAATACTGAATTAGATGTCCAAGACCAGTTTAGTATCAAGGCTGCAAAATCTAAAMGGCTTTTACCCACACATATGTATGGCATTAGCACATTTAAATAAAAGAAAAATATGCTCAATGTTACTGAGTGTCTGTAGTAAGTCCATTGGTTGACTCTGGAGAGGACAGAGTAGTTGCTATGATGTGGAAGACTCTAGATCCTCACAGACTTCAGCTGTGTTTTACAGTCACAAAGTATACAAAAATTAAGCACAAAAATTTAAAATAGTAATATTCATATTAATCATCACCATCATCATCATCTTACTCTCTACAAGCCATGCTAATACAAAGGTTCTATTACTTAGAGATGGACACTGAGGAATAAAAGGCTCCATTGCATAATTTTGCAGGAAACAACCATAAAATACTTTGAAAATGTTCAAGAATAAATTAGAAACTTTAATGACTGCAGCTTTCGCTGTCAAAATTTCTAAATCACTGGAAACTTTGGGATCAAGTTACTAACATTTTCCCATACAAGCTTGTCCATCTACTTTTTAACATCAGCACTCTGAGACAAGAACTAGCTGATTTATTTCTCGTGTTAGAAGATCTTGTTGCTCCATTGTAATTTTTTTTTTCTTGGCTACAATAGATGGAAGCAAATCTCTTACTGGGTTATAAGTTTAGTGTGTTTTTCAGCCTGTTTTTTCATGTTGAAATCTTAATTTTTGTATTTTTTTGTTGTTGTCTGTTATCCTTTGATGTTAGGTTCCCAGATAATTTGTTCCAGTTTCCAGAGTACTTTCTTCAGATGAGAGCCATGCATTAGTAGATCCGTAGCTCCTGCTGAAACCTCTTACAGGGATAAATAGAGCTTGCAGTAAATGTACACGAGGTTGTTTCTGGAAACCCCACTGCTACATGATTCTCTGGCACTGACAAGACATATTCAAGAATTTGTGGTAGGAATTCAGGTGTGCACAGGCTGGCAGTTGTCAGTTTTACCATACAATACCTTTTCTGCTAAAAAAACCACAGAGATATAATTGTGCATTCTTTTTGCAAGTCTGGTTAAACCACTGCATCACTCATTTCCCTTCACCAGTCAAAAAGATCAAGTGCCATGAACATGGTAGAATGGTTTTAGATGGATTTAAAGTACAAGGTTTTAGTGTCACAGCTTGCTCCGCTCAGCCTGGCTTATCAGATAATAAGAAGAGCAGCAAGAATAGAGAGTTTGACACTACCTGGAACAGACTGTAAGAATTCCTTCAAAATTAAGCAGGCTTTGCACCTCACCTGCCACAGGCAAAGCGTATTCTGCATCAAGACAGATATGCATACAGGAGAGTAGTAATATTTACCTGTTTCCTTAACCTGAAGTCAGAGCCATGCTGTGCTGCTCTGTAAGAGGGTGAGATTATTACACCTTCATCTTTTTAAGACTTGTCACCCTCGATCAAAGAGATGTCAAATGCTCTTAACCTGTATGGTGTATGGCCACCCTGATTAATGAAAAAGACACTTCCCTGAGTTGCTGCAGTTAAGACAGCATGTGTGTGATCCTGTTGATTCTCACAAGCTAATCAGGATCAGTCTGGGTCAGATTTATGAATTGCAAATTCCTTGGGACAGGGACAGCATCTTCCTATAAACTCCTATGGTACAAAGAATAACAGGTTAAATAATGGGTCTGCAGTCATAAGACTCCAAAACTGTGCAGATAATAAAGACATTTCAACTAATGATGTTTTGAAGGCTCTATGATAACAGAAAAGACTGTGTTACTGATGAATTACAACAAAAATCACTGAGAATGCTAAAGTTAATTCTATAAGGATTTTCGTATGCCTAACACTGGCCAAATTCCATCTTCAATTATTGTTCTGCTATATAAATCATAATGCAGCCTAAGAAGACATTCCTTGCTTTTTGATTTAGAGAGATTTAATAATTTTTTGTCCTGTTTGAAACGTTACCACTTCACCATGATTCTGCCTTCAGAGTCAGCTGAACTACTGATGTTCTTTGCTCATAATTTGCCTACAGTAAGTTGTATCAAGACCTATTTTACATGCAATAAGAGGGTTTTTTTTATTAATAGGAATGCGAAGTTATCTGAAGTGGGGCAAAGCTTTTTCCTCTTATTTTTCTAGAAAAGTAGCACAGAAAAAAAATGCTTGCAAGATAAGAACTTACTTTCAAATTAATGAAGATTAATAAAGATGTGATTTTTTTGCATCCACCTATCCCTGACAATGAAATTAATATCTACATTCAGCTAGAACTGATTGTAATACGGAGTTTTTGGAAACAACAACTTAGGGATGAATATAATATAAATGCCATGAAAGAAAACAATGGATTAAACCTAAAGGAATGATACTACTTCATTCTTCAGCACTGTTTGAATAAATCTAAAATTGTCTTTCCAAGGCTGAGTCTCTGTTCAGTTTTGTCAAAKACCAGCACTGACTTGGAATGGATTGTTTAATATTTGCTACTGTTTGTACTTCTTAAGCCTGGAATTATAGCCTGTAATTAACCAAATTAGTCTTCCATTTTCCAAAGTAAAGGTGGCACATTTCACTCATATAAAATAATCCATCATTACATTTTAGATTCTGGTTTGCTGTCAAATCTGTATGAGAATGTAGTAATATATTYACTAAAAGTTTTTATGGGGTTTTCTTCCTGAATTTTGGCCATCTTTCAAATGAAATACATGAACTTTTCTACTTGACAGAGTAAAAATCATTTTGGAATACAGTAAGACCTAGAATTACTTGAGAAGAGGGTGTATTTTTAGCCTGGTCTTACTGAAAAAAAAAGCAACTTGTGAAAAATATGATAGGATATGTTCAGCATATTAAGAATGTTAGAAAGTAGCTGCATATATTTTAGTCAATATCTATTGTGAGATTGAGTTTTTATAAGTATTATAAACTTGAATACTTTGTGAAATTCGTAATGAGTATTAACATAAACTGTCACATTGGTTTTGATTACTGCAGGACTTTTTACATTTTACAGCAGGAAGCAGGCCCAGTGTCACAGCTGTGCGGTTTGTAGATGTATAGCAGGATTACGTGTCATGCCCATTATGAAATCAAGAACTGTGAAGGCTAAAGATGTGCACTGCACAGAAAGGGTGGCTCATCTGAACAGTAATGTGCACCTGTTGCAGTGTGCAGTGACTGCTTTTAACTCCTCCCTGTTCATGGAATAATGATGGCAATAAATAATTTAGTTCTATATACTTTTTCTCTTCTATTAGTTAGAAAATAATGAAAAAAAAATCCTAGTTTGCATCTTAGGAGTGACTGTGTAGTATCTGTTTGACTGAAAATCTGATAATACTGCAGTATAACATTTTGCTCGTACTGTCTTCAGTAAGTCTAAGATTTTTAAAGATTTGCTGCAGAACAGTCCTTCAGGAAACACATTCTACATGCGGAGTTCATTTTTAATCTCTTATCAATTGTTTGATCTGAGATTATGAAGCAAGTTACCTTGATCGTATTACAGCTTAAAGTCTCTGTTCTTTTTGCCTCCATGAACGTGTATCTTATTTCCTTTTTGCCGTCCTTAAAAGATGAATACATTAGCTACATAAAATGAAAGAGAAAAGGAAAACACTTTGAAAATGTGTAACAATGTTCCAAATACTGCATATATTTTAAGAAAAACTGGATTTTAAATTAACATTATATGCAATGTCCTCATAAATGAAGCTACCATTAGAAGCAAACACGTAGCAACTTAAGCCATCGAACAGTTCTGATTTATTCAATCATCTGACTTTTCTGTTGTCTTCCATCTTAATATCTGAACACATGGCAATGCCCATGGCACCACTTTTTTTATCCTACCTTCTCTGTTTGCAGTGGTGCATTTCCTTTGATAAAGGGGAAAAGTTAATAATTTTAACTCTTTTTATGACAATCTAAAAATATGTCCCTGCTGCCACATTAATTCTAATGCAATATTCCAGCTTTAGATCACTAAGCAATACAATCTGAACATGTCAAAATTAATGAAAAAGACTTCAGAAGTAGCCTTCACTTATGCACTTCATCAAGCCCCAAGGTACTAAAATAAAAATTGAGATCCAATGAGAAATAGAGAAAAGTCCTGGGCAGCTGCTTGTTCAAATACTTTTATACRAGATTAGAAGAAAAAAGCAAATCTGCATTCCTTTGTTAAACTAATGGCTTTTTTTGAGTCTAGTATATTAGAGAARATGTTAAAGAACAGTTCATCCTCTCATAAAGATTACTTGTGCAAGACTGCCAAGGTCAGGGTCAGCCTAGCTTATCAGCCATAGACTGGTAAGTACCAGACAAGCAAAATGCCTGTTTCTCTTTTCTGTACTGCCTAACAGCCAGTTTCTAATTGCATGCTGGAAAACAGGTGATTGAGTAACAGCTTCCCTCAAGTTTGAGATAAATGTTGCAGTCTGACGCACTTCTTTCTCAGTTCTATAAATGCATACATATATAGGGCATAAATCCTGGAAGAAAAGTGATGTAAGTATCCAAACAATAGGAAAAAATAATACAAAATATTGTCATTCTTTAAGAATATTTTTGAGTCATCTGAGTATTTTTCTAGCACTGAGTTGCAACCAGCACTGAAACACATTATCTATTATTGAATGTAGTTGTTCTACACTTTCGATTTTCAACCATGTTTTAAGAAACATTGAAACAGAATAATGTAATATTTGGAAATGTCTGTTTAAAAAAAATATCTTTCCCAGGAACTGATCAATATTCTTACTGTGAGCATCAGGTGTAACATGACTAGGAACAAGTAGTATGTTAATATTGGTTATTCAATCCCTGAACTGTAACAGAGCTATTTCTGTACTTTGAATAAAAATAGATTAACACATCTCTTTTACCGTCTTGTATCTAGGGAGAATAAATCATAAAGAAAAAGAATGCATGGTATTCCATGATGTCACTCCAAAATTTGCTCATAGGAACCAGTGCATACAGGAACATATTCTGCTGGGATTGTGGTTCCAGGCTTAATGATTGAGAGTAAGTTACCCTGAAGACTAACCGGACATGAGGATTTGTAAATTCCCAATTTAAAAATATGTAATAATTTTGGATTGTTTCAAGAATTATTTGGGCTTAAAGGTTGCTTGGTATTGCCATTGGCTGTAATCCATTGGAAGATTATTGAAATAACAAGACAAGAAAAAAAAAAGTGAAAAAAGTAATCAATTTACTAATCTTACAGACCAAGGAGTTTGCACTGAAATAAGATTTAGGAAGATTTAAATATAGTGAAGTTAACTTCAGGTATGCATGTCAGCTTCCTCCACTGTTTTTTTTTTTTTTTTTTTTTTTTTTTTTTTTTGAAAATAACTAATTTGTAAAATTTGATGCAAGAAGAAGAAAAAACCTACCAATAACTTTTTTTATCCACTTAAGATTAGCTTTCACTTTGTAATAATACAGCCTAGAAGACGTTCTGCATTCTGATAATATAAATAATATTATTTAAATAACTTGCACCCATAAGGTAGTGTAAAATTCAAAGGATTTAAAATAATTTAAGAGGACACCATCACATCAAACAATTATATTAAGTCTTAATAGGGCACCATTTTACTTGATGAAAATAATTGTGCCATTTGTGCAACATCCAGAAGTAGTAAACTTGAACAAATGCTTAACTCTTTGCAATACTAAGGTTTGTAATCCCAAATTCACAAGCATAAATGTATATACCTAATTTGAAACATTTGAATAGTTTGCTGAAGGCTTCAGAACTCTTCTTGTACCTAAGATTAATTACATGTGTAATCGTTAGTATGAATTAAATCACAGATTAATAAAATCACAGATGATGTTACAATATCCAGAGTCAAGCAAGCCAATGAGAATCTAAAATCAATGAATATGTGACAGATGAAAAAGCAAATCCTTCATGCCGTTTATAAACATTTGATAGATTCAAGTTTGGTGCATCCAAATACAGCAGTGTATTCAGGTGGAAGGCAGTACTTTCAGTGCATGGAACAGTATTTAGGCAATTTTTGCTAAAAATTGTCACAACAAATTCCACAACTTAATTCAGGTGTAATTAACTATGAGATTGAAAATTCAGACATGGAACTGGAGAAAATGGTCCTTTGTGTTGCACAAAATACTTCATGAATGCCCACAAGTGCAGAACCTATCTGACCACACTGAAGCCATTAACATTTGGCATCTAGTCTAATGTTCTTCAAACAGCCTTATTACTTTATCATCAATGAAAGAAATTAGGCACCACATAAATACAGCTGCAAAAGTCTGACCATAATTACAGGGACAATGATAGAAGTAACGAGATGGACAGCAACACAGGCAGACAAGGGGATTCCTTTCCATCTACAGCTTTGTACAGATGAAGTCTAGTGACTTAAAATGCTCAACAGGAAGCAGAAAGGGAAAAT